ATAAACAAATAATTAAACCAAAACTAAGATGTTACACTAGGTAGGCCTCATGAAGATACTTTGGAGGCACTTATGTGTGCACAAAATTGGCTAAAACGGAAGATAATAAATATTAGACTAGTCTATTTACATAGTTAATTTTGTTTTTATAAAATGTAATTTTAATTCTTATTTTCTTATTTATGTTATAGTTTCTATAGGTATTATTGGAGCAAAACAGTATATAGACTTTAAAGATAAGCGACTGCAATCTTTTGGAAATCAATCTGATTTTAATAAAATAATATATTTATGTTATATTTTTTTGTTAAAGTTTTACGTTATATTAACTTTGAAATATAAAACAAACCTGACTTAATTTATCAATTTAGTTTTATTATTAAATTATATTATGTTATAGTTTGAGACCCGAATGCTGTTTGTACATAATTAAATAATTCTACTTGTTAAGTATTTTGATGGTCTTTTGTATTTGTAACTAATGCGTTTTCATTTTATTATCGCAATCATATTTTGGTTTTCTATTGAAAAATATAAATAGTAAAAATTATATTTTTATTTAACTAAAGTGTGATTAAAAGATATGAGTACGAGCATATAGATATCAACTGAGTTGATTTAATAAAATTTTTATTTTTATTTTTTAATGATTCTTTCTAACAAATTTTACAATAATTAAACTGTTTCGGACTAGACCTGTCATTGGCCCAACTTTTAGTAAAGTCCAATCCAAGCGTGCCAATTTGCTGTGCTGAACGGTATTTTCTCCGAACACATTCCGATCACAGAGGCCTCGTCGACCAAGACTGCTTCCTGTCGGTGTTCGCGGTGACCATCTCTGGCGAGCAGGCGCTCCTCCTGAGCACTTTTCTCGTAGGACTGACTTTCAACCTCTCCGGATATTGTAGAGTCTTCGTGGTCTCGAAAAGACCGCGTCCATATTCTTCTGGTCTTGCGGGAGACGTCATCCAGATAGGGGACCACGTGCGGGTCCTCACGTAGAATCTAGCAGTCTCTATGTTGGGCCTATTTGATCAGCCCAATAAATAGACATTGACCCGACACTGGGGTTATAAATACTCTCTCTTCTGAAAGGGTCAGGTATTCAACATCTTTCTCTAAACTCATACTTGTTTGCTCATTCTGCAACTTACTTTGTCATTGGAGTATTTTGCAGATACTCCTATCTCATTCAACTTCTATTCAAACTAGCCGTGACGGTCCATTTCTAATCCGATAAGATCACAAACAAACTATTAAAAGATACTCTAGGCCATTTTCACATACTTGCAATTAGAAAAATCCAATATCAATTATAACATGGACAAACTGTTTAGACCACTGACATGACTTCAAATGAGCATCACAAACGAGTAAAATGTGTGATAGTTTCCAGAACACAAGTGATTGATGTAGAATAGATAGTATTATGAGTGTTATAAACAAGATATACTTAATTCGATGTCTAACTAAATTTGTGCAATTAACAAAGATGCATTGCATGAAGATAACGTGTAACGTTTAAATTTGATTAATTCTCACATCACTTGGACCTTCTTTTATAGTGGGAATTTCGTAGTAATTAATAACGTGCAAGTTTGATTTATCTCATTGCTTTCATGGAAGAAGAAAAAAAACTGCCGGCATGATATATAATTTTCTATTCCATCTTCGCCAAACAATGAATTTGCTTTTACATTTCTAGCTCGTGCAGCGACTAATTTCTTGAATAAAAAAATTCATAATAAATAGTCAGTAAGAAGATTAATTTTCTAAATCATAACAAAATCACAATGGAGAGAAATACTCTCATTTTAAAATATTTAATTAAACGCTCAAATAGATATGAATCATTTTTAAGATATTTAATCAAACCCTTAAATAGAGATTAATCACAAAAAGGATGTTGATCAATATTAATAGAACAATTTTGAAAAGAAGCACAAATCTTAATACGGTTATGAATAGAATCTTTTTCGAAAGACTAGATGAAGTAATTGATATCGCGCTCCGTCTAAATTAAAATAATAATAAGCAAGAGAATTAGCGCGAATAACGATTTTTCTTACAGTAAAATCATCGTCATCATTCAAAAAATCCAATTCTGACCTAAAACTACTGTTGAACGTATTATGAGCATGGAAAGGAGGATCCACCCTCATAAAAAATGTCCATGAGTTCTAGATTATCGACTCCAATGGATAATGAAGACTCTTCATTGTTAGATTTATGTGTTACGTTTACAAGTGTATTCTCTAAGTTGGCCATAACAGTATGCAGAAGGAGATAGAGAAATACTTTAGGGAAGACACACGAACTCAAGAAAGACAAGTACACAGAGAAGCAAGATCTGTCGCGAAAAGATGTTAAGTGGTTAAAATTGCTGAAACTTACAAATAGAAGACGAACTCAGAGAAGAAGTTAGATTTTGAGTGGCAAACAAAGCGAAACGAATATTAGAAAAGTAGTTTAGATAGGAGGAAAATGAGAAGACAAAGGGTGGAGGTTTGATTGTTCATTGAGAATACAAACAAACTCAAGTGCACTTGAATGTCCTAGAGAAGAACATCACGCCCTAGCCAGTGAGCCTAATGCCACTCACCTGAAAATCGACAAAAGGTTTCAATGATAAAAAATGCACTTAATACGCTTATTCTCCACTACTTCTGCAATTGCCTCATGGTCTTCCCACTTCTCCTTAGGAACAATTTTAATGATATAAGATCGGCTTCAACTTCAAAAGGCTTATTGACTAATGAAACCCTAAAAAAGCCTTAGGGGCAACAACTTTTGATTGACTAGAGACCCAATACAGGAGAGACCCAAGTGTTAAGCCCAACAACGTAAAGTTCATTAAAATTATCCATCACATATCATTGACACACGTGAGACTTAAGGTACATTTTCCGATCTCATACTTTCACTTCACTCATTTTGGACTTTGTACCTAACATGAACATTTGAGTGCTAACCTTGTAAGTCCATCCTCTTTTGTCATATCAGAGACCTGTACCACTGCATCAAGAGTCTATCATCCCCGATCAATCATAATTCTAGTTCAATTACATAACATAATTAATATAAATTTCAATTTTTTTAAAGGTTAAATATGTTTTTGGTCCCTATAAATATTCCAAATTTCATTTTTAGTCCCTATTAAAAAATGACATATTTTGGTTCTTACAAAAATTTTATTCATACAGTTTTAGTTCCTGCTATTTTCTAAAATTTTAAAAACTGTTTAATTATCCCTGAACTTTTAAATTTTTGAATAATTTTTTTCATAAGTGTTTAAAATACTATAAAATGTTTCTTTACAAAATTTAGAATTTTTTAAAATGAGATGAATTAAATATGAAATTTTTAAATTTCAAAAGATATTGACGAAAATAATGAAAATTGCGACTTAAAAATCAAATTTTGAGTTCCTTTTTTTTCGAGGAACTTTTTATGACGTTCTAAATATGTCTACAAAATAATCACTCAAAAATATACACCACTTTAATAGTAAGAACTAAAATTACGTGCATAATAATTTTGTAGAGACTAAAACATGTCATATTTTTTTATAGGGATCAAAAATAAAATTTAATAATTTACAGGGACCAAAAATATATTAAACTTTTTTTTTTAATAACATCTGAGACATAATAACTTTTGTATGATCCTTATTCATATAAAACTTATATAAGTATGCCTCATATATAGATGTAACTATCAAAAACATCTCGCAATATCTCAATATTGATATCTCGCATTTGTTTACTTCAACAACTTGAGTCCTCCTCTTGAATTTAAGATCATAGAGGACATCTCTCTTGTAGTTCTAAAATCCAAAGTACACAATCTCTTCCGCTACCCAAACATATAGAATAGAAGGCTGATTAAGATCGAGTATTGTTCCCCCTCTATTAATAATGAAAGAAAGATGAAGTTTAACAACTTTGAATTGAATTCAGACAAAGATTTAAGAATTATACATAGTATATTTCACTCTTATACAATAAAGATTCGATCAAAGTGGACGATGTAATAGTGACAAAATGAATCAACGATATCTAAAATATCCTCAACCATCTCTTAGATCGTGAAATATCCTCATCCATGGTGAAATGACATGTTATATTTATGTAGACAAAAATTTATGTTTTCTTCATCTCTTGTATGCCATCGTGCAATTTGCTTATGGTTTTTTTACAACAAGGCATGTTCTGAATTTTAAAATTCAGAAAATCTCAAAGGATATATTTGTGATATTGGTTGTGATAACAAGACATATTCCATGTTTCTGCACTCCATATTGCAGCTGGCATGTAGTAAGACACTAAGAAAGATGCATTGCATGTAGATAACGTGTGACGTTTAAATTTGATTAATTCTCAGTTCTACCTTCCTTTATAGACGAAATTTCGTACCAATTAATGACGTGCAAGCATATGCATTCTCCATCAATTTATATTATTATTCTACGTTATATAATAGTAACTAATATATGCAAACATTGAAGTTTCATAATGTAAATTGAATTTAATAAAATGGAAGGAAATGATTATTCAGCCCTTGAAGGTAAGTAAATTTATGATCATGAAAATCAAAGATCTAATTGTATTCATAAAAAATAAAATAGAAACTTACAACAAACAACACCAATATCCTACAATTTCTGTGTTGGAACTTGAATTATTTAAATCTATTCCTGTGCTACATCATAACATTTGAAAATTTTCATGTAAATGAAAATGGGGAAGATACCAATTTTAATCCAACAAAATGGTAACTTAAATTTTGTAAACATAAAAGTAAAAATAAAAAAGCCAAAGAGGTTCTTCCCCTGAAAACTTTGAGCCAATCTTTTGAGTATTATAATATCTTGAATTTCTTCACGACCTTTGAAATCAAAATATCATCGTAGTAAAAAAAATAATGAGGAAAGTAGCAATTAGAAGAAATTTTTTGTGTCAATTTGAATGATTTTGAAGCATCAAAATGTGTTGAATTCTTCAGCATCCCATCACAGCACAATTATAAACAAAGTTACCAGATTGTTTTCTTGCAAGTAGATTCCATTGTGGAGGACCTTCACTAGGCACCCATGAGTTGAGTTCGATAAAACCCTCGCCGTGACTCCTCGGTCCACCGATAACAATAAGCCGGTTTCCACATGCCCTAAATGCAAGACCCCAACCGTTCATCGACGCAGCTCGCTCCGGTAATCTCCCGATCGTGACCCATAATTTTCTTCCCTTGTCGTACTTTTTAACCTCCATGTCGGCGTAGTCCGCGGCGTATAGTTCGTTATTTACAACCGCGACTAGAGGTGGTGCCTCGGCCGTAGCAGGCATCTCGGATCCCCTGGCGCTACGCCCAGGCGACATGTTAGGTATTTCTTTCCATGTTCTTGTTTGTAAATTGTACTCCTCCCCGCATGTGAGAAGCTTGGAGTCGCGTCCGCCGATTCCCCCGATAACATAAAACCTTCCGTCCATGAATACCCCGGAGCACATCTTCCTCGGCTTGTTCATGCTTGGGAGTGTTTCCCATGTTTGATTCTCGGAGTTATAGAGCTCAGCGGAGTCGAGTATATGTCCGTCAGAGTCACACCCGCCTGCTAGAATCGCAATCTCTCCAAGGCTAGCGGATCCAAACAAGCATCTCGGAAAATTCATTCTCATTCCAGATTCCCACGAGTTTGTCAAAAGACTGTATCTGTATATGACATGAGACTGCAACTCCCTCCCGAACACAAGAAGCTCGGTACCAACCGCCAAGGACTCCTTATCCGAACACATGAAGCATTCATTAGAAGCCATTCTAGGTAAATGCATCCACCTTTCGCGAATCGGATCATAAGCCTCCCATTCGAGGAGGGCACATGAAAAATAAATCCAGTGCTCTATGATATCATTCAGTCTCCTCCACGCATAGAGCTCCCCGCTCCGTATTATGTTGCGGAAGCTCCTATTCAGCGAGGCAAGTGAACCATAATCAGATCTCGAACATCGGCTTAGACAAGTAATTGAGCTGTCCCGGTTCATCCGCGGCAAAAGTGAACTCGAATCTGATGAATCTCCAGCATGATGCTCCTTCTGCTCATCCGATGGCTCATCAAGCTGCACCTGTTTCTTCTGATGTTCATCGCCGAACTTTGACAACAACATGAATTGCGGCGATTGTGATTGTGATTGTGATTGTTCAGCCGAAAACTGAACAGAAAAGGAAACAACCTTTTCAACTATTTCACAATCATTCAACCGCTCGAAATCCTTCCTCCCATCATCTAGATCGATTTGCGGAACAACAGAATCCATCTCACCTGGATAACAAGAATCTAATCTCCTGCTAACCTTCCTCGACTGCGGTTCATCGTCATCGCCATTGGCACCCAACAGTCTCTTTCCATTTTTTATCTCCAAATCCGGCATGTATTTCATGTAAGACCAATTATTCTCCGCCAAACAAGAACTCGAAAACAACCCCGGAACCACGCAGGATCGACCTTCCAACATAGTCTTCCCAACAACAAAAACTCAACTTTCAATCAACCAACCTCACAGACACAGAGATGAACAATCTCAGCACAGAAACAAAAGCCTGTTGAAACAAAACAAATCAAATCAAATTCAATTCAAATCACAAACCCCAATTATCTATCTCTCTTACTTAACCCTTCTTCTCATATACATCAATTCTTCTTCATAAATCAAAAACCCAGAGATCACAGATCAGAATCCATTCAAAATCATTTTTTTTATCAACAAGAAAAAAAAACATCATAGAGATCTCCGAAATCAAGCATTCCAATGTAGAAACTAAAAAATAAAAATAAAAAAAATCAAATTTTGAGCAAAACCCATTAATACTAATCAACACCATTTAACAAAAAAACTAAATTTAATTAGATCTAATAAAACTAGATCTCAATAAATCTAGTAATATTCACAACAACAAGAAGAACAACATAGGAAACAAAACACACAGAGAGAAAGACAGAGAGAGAGAAAGAGAAAGTGAAAGAGAATGATGTCAGAAAAAACTTACGGGTAAGATTTCCGAAACAGAAAACAAAAAAACATGAAAAGTACTTGATGTTCAATTTATGCAAAATTGAACAACAATCTTCAACTCCTTTCTTTGTTTCTATATCTCAACAAAGTCACAGTTTTTTTGCATGTATGTACCCTTTCACACGCACACATGGATAGATAGATAGATAGTTAGAGAGAGAAAGTTCGAGTTTCTCTCTCCTAAAACAAACAAAGAAAAACGACTCTTAGAAGGTGTGTGTGGTTGGTCCTTTGTTTGAGATTGGTTCTGCAAATCAGATGAAAGAATGGTTTGGAGGTAAATCTGTTAGAGGACCCCTCTCATGGCCTTATCTTCCTTAGATCATATCTTAATTTATAATTTAATATTGCCTTCATTTTGTTTCTTTTTCTTATTAAAATCAATTTTTTATTTATTTATTCTTTATTAACATAAACATAATAAATCATTTTTAACCTATTTTAAACTTATCTAAATGGTTTTTTATATTTTTTAGAGAACTATTCTTTATTTACATAAACATAATAAAATCATTTTTAATCCATTTTAAACTTATCTAAATGGTTTTTAATATTTTTAAAGGAAAGAAGTAACTAACTTTGTAGAATTAATAATAAGTTAGCAATTATTTACTAAATTTCTATATTCATAAAGTTAAATTTAAAAGGGTACATAGTGTAAAGAGAAAATTAACCAATTATTGCTTCTTTTTTATTATTATTATTATTATTATTATTATTATTATTATTATTATTATTATTATTATTATTATTATTATTATTATTATTATTATTATTATTATATTCAATATATATATATTCCTTATTTAATTTAAATGATTAATGAGTGTCCATTAAAAATAAATCATAAATAAATTAAATTCAAATTCTAACAAAATAATTATTATTTAAATTTTATTTATATCAAATGAAATTTAAATTTTAATAATTTTTTTGCCAGAGACTTAAAATCATATTATTATTATTATTATTATTATTTTTATTATTTCCGTCTCAATTTTATAAGAGAAAAAATAAAATATGATTATTTATATTAGATAGGAAAAGGAGAAAGAGAAAAACTTTAATGTAATTTGTAATTAATTTGGTTTTAAAAGAGATAAAAATTAATTTTTTGTATATTTTAAAAGAAAAATATATTTTTCTTATATTTTGCAACAAAGAATGTATTAATAGAAATTCTATTGAATTATAATTATTAAATTATTAGAAAATAAAATTAATAAGATTAGTATCAAGTGTTCTTAAAACATATATTATTATATAATTAAAATAAACAAATTTGTAGAAAAACATATTTTAAAATGAAAAACTTAGAAATAGTATTATTAGAATTTTAAGATAAGATTTGTTTAATTAATTTATTAATTGACGTCCTAGGAGTATTAGATTAAGTGCATTTCATAGGGAAAGAAGGAGCATTAATTAACCCCTTGATTAATTAATTAAACTTTGTTCCATGTTCCTGTTTTTTTTCCTAAACCGTGTACTACTTTGTGTTATTGGGTAATGCAAAATTTGACAGAGCTGGTGGTCTTGGGGTCCACAAAAGGTTCGACGATGACCGGTTACCGGCTGCCGCCGGTAAAGACACGTGTTGACAATTGAGAACAGCATCCTGTTTTATTTTTCTGGTTCTGCATGCCTCGCTGACTCAACCTTTTTTGACTTTTTTTTTAAAAATTTAAATAAAGTAGAATAAGTTCCACCAAACACTTTTATAAAATAATTGGTATTTTATTTTAAGTGTGACTAATTAATAGTACTTATTAAAGAAACTAAAATTATAGAAAAGAAATGTTGTTAGATAGAATTGCACATGCTCTACATTAGAGAATTGTATCTATTAGTTGGTGCATAAAATTGTGGATAACTACTCTTTTGAAATATGGTGTGTCAAGCCTTTTATGGAGTATGGTGATTACTACAAATATTATGTGTTACCAAATATATTAGGAATGACAGTTAAACACTTCACTTATTGGTTTACCTTTATCTGGTCCATTGCAACACTGGTGAATAAAGTAAGTTATCATGAGCATGCTAGATACAAGTATGTTAAAGACTATTATAAAATAATATAATTCTTTTTAAAACATTATAAAATGAGTATCCTTAACATGTAATAGAAATTAGTTTTTTTGAGTAGAAAAAGATTATACTCTTTCGATCTCAAAATAATTATTTTTTTAATCTCAAAAAATTGTCTCAAAATAATTGTTTATTTATTTTTTCAATGCAATTATAATTAATTTTTATTATGGTATAGTGGTGGAAGTGGATCTACAAAATTAACACTTTAACACTTAAATCAGTGAATGACTGAGAAAATAATTTCAGAGTGTGATTGAAAGAATACCTGAAATTATGAGTGTTGAATTTTATATAGTGTGGACATTAAAACCATCCATTGGATTGGCTACCAGCACGGTCTGATTTCCTGGCATCATGAATTGATTTGGTTGACTGCTGAAACTATGAAGAAGGATTGGAGAAGGCAGATTTTGAAAATGGCTATAGTAGAGACTGTCTATAGCATTTGGCAAAACTGTAACGCTATTATATTTTCTCAAGTCATCTTGGATCCCAATTTAGTTGGTAATATTAAGTTTATTGTTGGTAATAGATTAGATCACTTAGCACACACATTGATAAATTGCTTTTTGCATAAAGTAATGTAGTGACTCTTTCTTGTCTTTTGGTGTTGTTTGGATTTGTTTGATCGGTTGTGTATATTGTGTTTTGGTAATAAAAATTTCTTTTGTTCCAAAAAAAAAACATCCTTGTTGAAATTTAGGTATGACAGAATTCAGATGTCCTATGACATGTTGAGACATCTGATCCGACATACACAAACAGGAAACGTATAAACATTAAAACAGTACTGAAAAGAATAAACAACACACATGAATTGTTAACCCAGTTCAGAATAATCTTCCTACTCTAGGGGCTACCAAGTCAGAGATAAGTCTACTCAAATAGTATCAATTCATAGACTTTACATCAAACTTCCAGTTTACGACCTAATCACTTAATCACTATCCTTGCTAGACTTCTATCTAAGACTCACTTAGATATGAGGCTCTCCTCAATCCCTCTTCAATTATAGACATCAATTGAACACAAAAAGAAAGACACACTTACATGACAGCAAAATAGAAGACACACTTCCATGACAATACTTAGCCAAGACTCTTGACTAAGAACAAAACTTGGAGTTTCTTACAAGCTTCCTCCAAGAACAATACTCATTCTTTCTTCACAGTTTCGAGGAGAACAAAGTGACCATCTCACAGCCCGAGTGGTTCACTTACACCAACTCTCCTAGAGAGTGGCTACAGACTCAACCCTAATGATTACATCTTTACTATTCTCGGTTGGTACCAAACCTAGATTACAAAGCACCCAACTGAATTTGGGCCTTCAATTCACAGCTATTTGCTTGTTACAAACAGCAGAAAATTCTACTACAAAATAGGTATTCAATCAAATCTTTCTAAATTATCTCCATATTTAGAAAGTCAATATTCTTCAATATTCTTCTTGATTCTTCTTGACCTATAAATCAGCACCACATAGGATTATATAATATCCTCAAAGTATATTTTGTAACAGAATATAGCAGTCCAGTTCAGTTGAGGCGCGATATCGTAAGACCTTCCATAGGACATCTTATCTGACATGTTGCTCCAAATGTTGAAATATTTCAATTCAACATGTTCTAACATAGAATATGACTTATTGTTCAACTTGTTCTTCATAACAAGATAGTTTATCCTATTATTTGTTGGTCTATTAGTTTTACCAAACATAATGTTAACCATAAAAATAGAGAATTAACAATCTCCCTATTTGACTTATTTTGGCTAAAACTAATTTATATACAATCAGAACATAACTCAATACAATCAATTAGCAACAATCATAATCTAAAAACATCAGAAGCATCCAGTCTTTAGTCTTCACACATTTCAGCAATGATGTCGCAACTTCAACAATAGGACTTCTTCATGACAATACTTAGTCTTCACACATTTCAGCCATGATGTCGCAACATCAACAATAAGACTTCTTCATGACAGTCCAACACATATTCTCTCCCCCTTTTAAGCCAGAATATGACAAAGATAGAAAGGAGAAATAGTAAACTCTGACTTATTGATGTTAGATTATCAAATCCAACATCTGTTCGCAACAGCTCTAAACATTGTCATTCCATATTCAAAAGCTCAGCCATCACAGACCGTTCCTCTTCATGTTCAGCCGAACCAATCCATTACGACCAACACAAGATGATGTCAATTTCAAAAACATTCCTCGCAGACTGAATTCATTTCTCCTTTATCTAGAAACATTCCTCCCAAGGAGAAACCAAATACCACTCAACCCCATAATACCTTCAATTCGGGTAACTTAGAAAACAAGTTACAATTATGTTCATC